TGTACTTACCTCCACATCTCCACACATCCACCCCTCCACAAGCAGTACGTACATTGATGCCGTTCTCATGGCTCTGCTTTGGCTTCGTCCCAACTCGCTCTGGTCCCCCTTTTCTGTCTGACGGAGCATGTGTGATCCGCGGCAAGGGTCCACTCTGACAGGGCATCCCCGGAATCCAATATGCAGATTTACGTACCTCCGCGAGCGGGAGGGTGCCCTGCTTCAACCACTTCCTTTTCACACGCACGCACGCACGCACGCACTCTCTCTCTGTATCTATCTTTCACACACACCCACGGCAGGATGGCACAGGCAGGACGCAGGACCTGGCTCGTCACATCTTTCCGCCGCGGAACGGTCTGATCATAAAGTGGAACAAAGCGGAGTGCGCACGGCTCGCTCCTGGAACAGGCACATCCCCCCCCCCCTCCGCAGGTGTCCTCCTCCCCCCACATCGGGGCCAGATTTGATCCATCGCTCGTCGCTCGCTCGTTCGTCGCACATGGCCCGTCGCTCATCATCGTGCTGCAGCCTGCAGCCAACATCGAACATCCGCGCTACTGCTTTTCAAGGCTGGTCCCTGTGGACAATAGGCAAGCTGAATGGATGCCCAGGGCCCAAGTTCCATCCCAACCTTGGAACTTTTCCTCCCCTCCTGCAATCAAAAAGACTAAACATTCAGCTGACGACTTCAGATGCACCATGCCACATGAGGATGCACCTCACTTTAATCCGCATCCCTTCTACGAGTCGCATTTCCGCCTACTGACCCACGCACTATCAAGTCTAGTTCTTGGCCCCGTTCCCAATTGAAATGAGATGTCCGGTTGGCTCAGTCCCGAAGCTCGTCGGTTACACAGGACACGGACACCACTCCGCACTCCCAACAGAGCAGCAAATTGCACGGCGTGCCCAGAGACACAAGGCACGTAAACCGGGACAACGCGCGGGATCGGGCCATAACGCGCGAAGTTGCACAGCGTCTCTGACAGGACAGGCATGCAGCGTTGCCCGCCGATGAGCTACACTACCAATGAGCAAAACAAAACAAAACCCTGAGCTCTGGTGCTGTGCTGACCGGCACACATCGGCGGGGCTGTCGAGATAGTGGATGGTTTGGCAGGTGATCCTGACTCTCGACGCTCAAGCCCTGGCAGCGGGAACCGGCTGCGAGGCGTTCGACCGAGGATCGTTGGGGCGTCGTGCCGGCAAAGCCACTGCCGCAGCGTTGCAGCTTGCCATTTTGACGTCTACGTACCGCTGCTCGTTGTTCATTTTGACGTCGCCTCATTCGGCACCGCAATCACTGCAAAAGCACTGGCGCGTTGCTTCGACGGAAAGACCCTGCCACGGCCTGACTTCACAGCATACATCAGCAAAGCACGATACTAAGGGTTGGGCACTTCTTGCCGCGGTGCTAAAAATTCATGAGGTGCTCTAGCACGCTGGCGATATATCCGATTCTTGTGGCTCCTTGCGTGTTCCAGCACAAGCGATCGGCGTTATGGAAGGTGGGTTTCGATTTTTGACCAGTGCGTGGAGTACACGCCAAAATATTGGTTCAGCCTCGTCATTGATGACACTATGAAAACACGCGGAATTGCGCTGTCAGCAATACATGTTTTCCGCGAAATCCCTGAGCAATGTTGATCAAGACTACCTTCCCAGTCGCGTTCTGAACACTGTGCGTTCTTATAATGCATTCAGGCCTGCAGACCGTCAGACCTGAAAGTCCGGTCTCCCGAGACCTTGTCGTATGCGGTTCAAGCTATCTCTCGTGTCATATTTTTTCCCATTAGATCAGCCACGTCTGAATACTGCGACCGCTTCCCCAAGGGAAGCGCACTATCGGAAAATCCCCCGGGATCGCCATTTGTACTATTCGTGTATCTCAGAACAACTGCATCTCGTCCGCGGCTGACTCTTCTACGGACCGAACGATGAGTTTCGCAATTTTACTGCTACCAACGGCGATAGGAACCAAACGTGGCATAGGCCCGCACGGTTGTCAAAGCTGGCGTCTCTGCGGCATTAGGCTCGGCGTCACTGTCTTCCATGTGCAGAGAGGGTATCATGTGTCTTCAAGCGCCGATTCTGTGGCCGAGTCTTCACGTTGCGGGCTCATATGTGCCTGAAAAGGCGTCCTCCAGGCGTCAACAACCCCTTTCAGCTCAAGGCGGCGCGTGCGACACAATGTACTCCTCGAGCCCTTGGTGACCGCTGGGACAGGGGTCCCGTGGTGTGGGTTCACATGGAGCTCTGCGCTACAGTATACTGGGAAGTACATATATCTGCAGGCCGATAGCGCGAGCATCCCAATAGGATGGGTGCGTGGCGTGAGCCCGAGCCCGAGCCCAGACCCTTTAAGCTCATCCCGGAAACCTGGTGCAGCTATGGGGACAGGAACACCAGACATGGGGCTGCCTCTTGACTGCTACGGTGTCTATTCCTTTCCGAGGACGGCAACAGGGGTCAAGCGTGGCAGATACGGACAAGGCAGGCCTTGCTCTAGCCCTTCTAGGCATGAGAAATCGTCTTGGATGCTAGTCCTTTCTCTCAGCCGGACCAGTGCTCTTGCTGCCTCTTTCTTTTGTTCTCGTGTTATGTCTCGCCCAAATCTCACCTCTCGCCGCAGGTGGGTCTCTGACGGGAGCTCTACCCGTCTACTGTATCAAATGTCCTCATTCTCCAAGAGCTCACCCTTGCGTTTGTTCTGTTGCCTTTACTGTCACTTCGGCTTTGTATGCAGAAATGAGCCAGCACACCAACGTCACTAAGGAGATTATCGATGCTGCTAGCCTCATTTGACAAGCGCGTCCACAAGGGTAAGCCTTCATCACCCCCTGCCTTTTTCACCTCTGCCCCCCCTGATCTACACCTATCTGCTGAATACAGGGTGCTCATCCTTCTGGATCCAAGCGCAAATGCCCAGGCTCTGGACCCAAACGTGCTAGCAAGCGGGATCCGCTAGACCGTTTCCTTTGCCTTGGGAATTGGCGCGGTTTGATACGTACCGCGGAAACCTTTGCCCACATGTCATCGACCAGTCGAGTTATGATCCCGATGCCAGACCCACTGGTTCGGAGGGACTTGACGTTCTGTCCGAGGCCTGCTTTAAGCCGCGTGATCTACCCTTGCTGCTCTCAGAACTCAGCTTCCAAGGTTGTCCGCCATCTGCATCTGCATGTCCACTTCGGCAGCCGCTCTGCCTATCTCACCATCCCTGTTGAGTCAAGGGTCACCTGGCTCGACCCTCAAGCTACTCTCAAGCTCCAGGGGCAGCCTCCTTATATTTTCATGAAGCAACAGTGCTTCCCCTTGCAGTTAATCACCCATTCACAAGCAGATCATGAGACAGCCCGAAGGTTCTGCAGGCTGGAGACTCACACTAATGCGTCGTCCACAAAGATATTTGTCGAAAGAAACTTGCTGGTTTTCCCATTCTTCTTGCAAATATCAGCCGTATGACTGCTCCTCTAATTCTAACAGCGGTATCTCTCCATAGTACGGCACCCTATATACAAAGGATGTAATAGTGCTCCATGAACTTGACAGCTTAGCTACGACTACGACCGCCTTGCGGTATCCTCATCGTTCGCATATCTTTACCTCCTCGAAATTATCTTTCGAACTGCTGTCTTTGATTACTGGCCCTCAGCCCCTTCCCCTAGATGAGCGCCTTTGCCTAAGCGAGTCCCAAACCAACGCGGACAGAAAGAGAGAGGGAGGAAGAGAGACTGGCCACTGACGACTCTTCCTTCACATTGGAGTATCTAAGGCTTGTCTGGCTGGATACGCATACTGTGAGTATTCTCTGCACTTTGTACTCCTCAGCGGGCCAATTGTGAAGAAGGATTACCCAGGGGGTCTCAAGGAGTTGGCAGCCCCCCTGCATGGATTTCACTCGATTAACACAGAGCAAGGCCAGCATCCCACAACCTGACCGGAGAGGCTTTCGGGCGCCACAGCACGTATCCCAATCCCGGGAACCATTCATATACGCTAATATCCCCTGGACTCTCACTGCCTCGGGCACCTCATTCGCCGTTCTGGGCACCCTACCTCTACTTGAACTGTATTTTTTTTCCAGCTCATACCAGCAAGACCAAATATCAGCACAGCGTTCCTTTGTTTCGATAGCAAAAGGGAGACATTTGCGAGGGGCTTCAGCAAATGAGAGGAAATACCGCGATCCTGCCTGAGTTCAAAGAGACACGTCGATCCAAGGCTCAGAGCTCAGGAACTCAACCCGAGACCAGTCACCCCGTTCTACTGTACTGATATTGGGTATTGGACGACCTGGGCGTTGCCCTTTCTGTTACATTTCATTTTAGCCCATCTGAGGCTACTCGACAAGACATTGCACAAAACCCATACCCCCCGGGGCCAAAAATATCTGGCCCTGGACCTAGTTGGTCTTGCAGCTCGGTGCAACACAGGTCACCATTAGAAGACCTCCCTGGTCCCCACCTCCCAAGCTTCCCGGATCCTTCCAGCCCAACCCAGCAGGCTCCTGTTCACTGGGAAATAATCTTTGTCCAATACATATTGTATAGAAAGACGGCGTGGAAGTCGACCTCCTCCAACATATACATTCATCGTCTCTTGAGGCACCTGGATACAAATCCTCCACAGGCACAGATATTCCTCAAAGTATCTCCACTCATCGACTCGCTATTCCCAACACCAACGATTCTCACGTCGACTCTGGCACACTGTCGCTCTTTGGGCTCATCGCAGCTTTCGGATTCTTGTATACATCAACCGACGACTGTGTGATACACCAGGACCGCGTTGGCCTCTGGTTCGAATTCTGCAAGACCAAAAGTCTTGACAGGAAGCTATAACCGACCTGAGCAGGCGATCACGCCGCTCATCTTTCCCCCCTGGACTCGACCTATCATCTACTCAATTTGCACGCAATCCCTACATCCCTTGCGGTCCATACAGACGGCTTCTACGTTGTGAAGACCTAGGTTCAACAGCTTCGAGTTCTCGCCATGATGGAAAACCATGCCGATCATATGGGCCATGGTCACGGGCACCGACCGGCGCCAGATTCTGGGGCTGGCCGACAGTTGATGATGCCGCCTTTCCCAAGCCTTCCTCCGCAACCTCAGTACCCAGCTTCAGATATTCCCAGTACGAGTAGACCTTCCCCAGCCCCAGTTAACACCTCTTCGCTGCTTGCCTTCAATAGCGCCCCTAGCAATAGTTCGTCGCTGTCTTGTTCTTCCTCGCACAATACCAAGCCGACCATACTGACTTTTTGGACCAGGACGATCAGTGGCCGATGGGACAGCAATGCCCCTGCAGACATCCCCAATAAATATGCATGGCGGCTCATCTCCTGAGTCGCATGCTGGGGGAACTGGCTATACGTGGGGTAATCACGACTCTTGGGCTGGTCGATCACCTCAGCAGTACGGCAATAGGACACCGGGTGGACTCAATCAGGGCGGCTTCTTCTTCCAAAACATGAATACGATGCCCTCGACGACAGCACACAGCATCTCCCCGATCACGGCTACGACACCAGGTGACACGCTGCCATCTTTCCATTCCTCTCCCGCAACGAGCATGTCACATCTTTCCATTGACCAAGCCACGAGCAACGGCAGCAGCAATGGGATATTGCCACCATTTCGCCAGAATTCCTCAAGCTACACGCCACGTCCAACGCCACCACTTGGTCGATCGTCTTCGTTTCCCAGCCCTGCAGGGACAGTGCCCCCTTACGTTCCAGGAATCTCCTCGATGCTGCCCATGTCAACAATGGCCTCGTCGACGCGTCCAGGTCTGGCAGCCCCGATTTCCCCCCTGGGTAGCTCAGGGCCTCCGGGACCACCGCCGCCTCCCGGCCCGGGAAGACTGTCTCCGTACTCGTCTGGGCCTCAGCAACAATATATGCACAATTTAGGCAATCCGGGGCAACCCATGGCCCTTGTATCGCATTACTCGCCAGCGGCAGCGGCAGCAGCCTACGGTGGCCATTTTAGCGGCATGATGTTTCAGTCGCAACAACGGCAGCCGGACAAACCACATCAGTGCGACCAGTGCCCGACGGCGTTTACGAGAAATCATGACCTCAAGAGGCACAAGAGGATACATTGGGCAGTCAAGCCGTTTCCATGTGACGGGTGCGAGAAAGCCTTTTCCAGGAAAGATGCTTTGAAGGTGAGTACCGAGCTGGGCTGGGCAGTTGGCCTGTTGCTAGACCAGGCCACGAGTAACTATTGGAACTATTTGCTGACCCCAAATGTGCCCCCAGAGACATAAGCTTGTTAAATGCTGTGGAAAGGATGGGAAAGACAAGAGGGACGGAAGCCCATCATCAACGGAGAGCCAGGGCAATGGCGGGGACCTGTCACCGAAGGAATCGAAGAGGTAGCTCAACCAATGCCTATCACACCAAGGGCCACCAAGGCTTCCTAACAAACACGAAGCTGGACGATGAGTTTGGCAGAATGACTCTTGTGCGGGTGTTATTTTCGATTCCACAACGACCAAACGGCCACTGCTATCTGCAGGTTTGGGGACCTTGAAAGCTCTGACGGCGTTTTAACTTGCTCATCAACGATCACGTCTTGTGCGAATACCACTGCAAGGCTTGAATTGGGAAAAGGACCGATACGATCAACGCTGAAGGAGCCACGCATGCTAGAATAGGCGTTTTCGGCTACTGGCTGTTTCGCAGGGGAAATGGCGGGTTTCTCGAAATATGGCGAGGCGTTCTACAGGGCGGTACGGTAACTGGCAACGGAAAGGGGACAAAAACAAAAATGGGCAAGGCAGACCATTTCATGGCATTTTCCTTTTTTTTATTATTACATTTTTATAGGACCAAGGGAAAGGAAGCAACAGGAGGGTATCAACAGGAGGGTATCACGGTGTTTTGCTATGGGCAACGCTGTTTATTGCACAGCAGATATTATTTATTACTGGGCATGGGCGGGCAAGAGGCAGGTCTCGGGGGATAATGGAGTTTGTGCCAACTGGAGGCATCTGTCTGCTAGGAGGGGCTATCATCAAGGGATTGCAGTTTGATGACAATATTTACTTCTGGCTTCACCACCCACTGGTGTGATGGGGCTGTAATTCTGAAATTGCAGCGCTACATGCCTGAGAAGCGAAGTGTTTGTTGCTGGGCTCTGGCTGGACTCTCCGGCTCGACCAGGCCCGCCTGTCTCATTCTCGAGCACCACCTGCCCTGTCAGCTTTGCAATGGGCTCGCCACAGCCAGGGGCGACCCTCTTTCTGTTCCAGGGCCCAACTACAACCACGAGTGCAACCACAATTGCAACTGCAACAACTGCGACAACTGCAAGTGCAACCGCAAGCGTGACGTCGTCGGATCTGAGACACTGAGACAACCATCGTCAGCCCAGCTCCAACATGACATCCACCAGGGCAGGCCAGGACAGGACAGGACAGGATAGCAGCGAGCATCCGTCGCTCATGACCGGCTCCGCTTATCTCTGTCAATCGCCTTCCTGCAGCCCCCATCCCCAGTAAGCGACAGCCTTCCAACAGGATGAAGCTGCTGCCAAGCTGGTGCGAGCTAACAAGCTAAAAAGCTACCCGCTGCGGTGGATTGGGGCCAGAGCAGACGGGGCAACATTCTTCAACCAATCTTCAGCCCCTCCCACAGCGACCAGTGGCTTCGAGTGAGACATGGAGAATAGCACGCAGATACCAAGTTCCAAAGTCCCAGAGTGCCAGAGTGCACAACTTGGGCCGTCACCCGCCTACTTCCGCCAGAGCCGGTTCCGACTCAGCTCTGTCCCGAACGGTGATAGCGTCCAATCCCGTCATTCCCTCCTGGGCCTTAGCTCACGGGAAGCCATGAAGTGCCCAGGCGGCCAGACGGTGCCTCTCCCTGAGTGGCCCTCCACGAGCAGACTCTTTCTCGATCCATCCATCCCACACGTCGGATGTTGGGAAATACAGATTGTACCCACCGCAGCGCGACACCACTGGCAAAGAAAGCTCTTGGAACTCCGGGGCGGATGGATGTGTGGGGAGGTGCTATGGTGTGTAGGACGCAACTGATCCTTAAACGAACGGGGGCTGACTTGTTTTCGTTGATCCCAGGAGCTGTTGTCTCTGCTTGGGGGAGGAGAAAGGGGGGGGGGGGGGGAATTGCTCTCCCAAGCACCCCCATCTCAAGTCTCATGCCCAACAATCACTTCTCCCAACCCTTCATTACGCGTCAAGCGATCGCCTGGTTACATGGAATGCACTGTGATGGCTCGCGACCAAGGGGGGCATGAGCCTGGTGCCGTATAGGCGACCAAGCCGAGGCACCCCCACGGTCACTTGCTTCCAATTCATCGACGACGACGTCGGCACCCATGCCCTTGGTTAAGCCGCAACCGAGCATCAGGCTCTGCAGGCACTGGTTGATCATCTCAGATCCCAGTCTGCAGCACCATTAGAAGGGCGTCAACTTTCCCCGTGACCACTCAGCAGACCAGCTTGTCCTGTACGCCGCACGCAGCCACGGAAAGAGCTGATGGAAAGGGCCAGCCACTACTGACCGGTCAGGATGAGAGAACGTGGGAAGGGGGGGTAAGCGGCCTCCACCAGACCCATGGCTGACCCTGGCTCTCGGCCTCCACTGCCTTTGCACCTTATCCGAACAGCCATCATCAACCTCATCGGTCCTGCTCCCCAGCCTCAAGGCAATAAAACCTCGCAAAAAGTTGAGCGTGAGAACACGACGCCGAGACCACTGCGTTTGGGTCATACCCATGGATAAATCTTGAGGTTAGCGCTCGCCTCGAATAGGTTGGTTTCTCCACCAATGTTCTTGGACTCGAAAAGCTCAAATTCCATGACTTTGGACCTGGAGACAAGCCATGTCGCACAAGTAAGACGTCGAGGGTCCCATGTTCCGGAACTCTTCCCCTCGACTCTGCCCTGCCCTCATCCTCATCTCCTCCTTCTTCGAAGCTGAACCTCGCACCTGACGATGGACATCGTCTTTGAACCCGCAATGGCGGGGAGAAATTATGCTGTTCTGCCTTGTGCGACACCGAGACTTTTCGGACCGAGCAAGCAGACACTTATTCCCTTCACAGTAGCATTCACTGGGCAGCTGCCCCCGTATCGTCAATTTATTCTTCAAGACACTGACAGACCTTGCTAGACCCGATCCTCGCGGTTTCGATGGCCCCCACTGTCTGGCCAGGAGAGATTGCCCTTTTGAGGTTGTTCAGATCGGGGCTTGTTGGCTGTCTTGTCTTGGGCACCGTGTCACACGGGCTTGGCCTTTGACTGGCCGGCTGCACCCGAAAAGGCCTTGACCCCGGGCAGAGAAAGATTCGGGCTGGGCCCCGGCTTGCAGTCGGACATATAGTTTGATATTGCACTTTCCGATGTCAGTTCCAGCACACATGCACAGCAAAGACAAGTAAAGAGACGGTTGATTCTTGCGTGCCACATACGTCGGGTACAGTACCACAAAGACGTCGTTGAAATAGGCTCCGAACCAGAGCCCCTCCACCCCGGGACAATGGTGGGTACATTGGAGCATCATCCCTGCTTGAGTATCAACAACACTCCACTGCATATCTGGGGTAACAGTGGAGACTAGGAGACCCTGTCAGAGACCTATGTGGCTCGTTGAACGACGTACGGGCACCATACAACCAGCATCTCGGATGGAGTTGACGACAACTCCGGCCTGCCCCAGCTCCCGCAGCTGCCGCAAAATCGGCCCATGAGGACTCGGCCCGGATGGCCACCGCTGATGGGCGGCTTTGCTGCAGCAAGCCATAGCTGTCACTCTTGTCGAGCGCCAGCCATTTGCATCGACAGGCCGCGGCAGTCTGCAGATCAAGTCATGCTCGTGCTTGATCCGTGCTTCAACGCTCACGGCTACTGACAGCTGGCACGCAAGCTCCCTTTGTAGGCAGTGACCACGAAAAGGACTGTGCTCGGAATCTCTACCCGCGGGGCAGGGGAAGTCTTCCCGGTGGGCAGGCTTCCGGGAGCAGGAAATGATGGGTTGCACCTCTGTCCCTGGCACCTACGGGAATCAAGTGGTTCGGGGATTAATTGCTGTTACAGCGCAGCGCCAATCCCCCATGACTCAACGCTTGCGTGGGAAACACCAATACCACTCTCAGTCATGGCAGCAGCACACCATGACCACGACCGTTTCAATGCCCTGCGGCCTCGGCTGATCTACATGGAGCGAGCTTACTAGCAACGTCTGCTCGCGGTATACCGCGGGATGCAACCCAGCACAAAGCCAAGAAAAGGCCTTGTCCAGGGCTGCTCCTGCTGTGCGAGCATTCCCAATCGCTTTTGGGAAAGGCAGCCAGGAAACTCGCGCTGCGCTAGCATGTCGTGTAAGGCGACCAGGTATTGTTACGCGTAAAGCTGCGCTTCTCTGAGCCAAAAGGGGGACGAGAAAGCCGTGGCTGTCTCCCTACCCAAGCGCTCTACACTCGCAAGTATCCCTCAAGAGGTGCCCGAAATCTCTGCAAGCGCCTAATGCCCTGATTTCAAGCTGATGGCTAGCCATCCAGCTAGTTGTGCTCTCCTGTGCTGGCGCTGGTGCTCCTGTCACACGGCAGTAGTTCGGGTAGATGTGCTGAAATTGGTGTCCAGATGCAGCGGGGCCCTTGTGGCACCGATGTCTGGGCTTGCCTTTTTCTTCCTCTTCCCTCATGTCGTTTGCGTTACGCTGCCCTAAAGTATATGTATGGGCTGGTTAGGGGTAATACTAGGTGTGCCCTCAGGGGACTGGCTGGGTAGGTCAAGTTTGCTGCCAGATTCCCGGCACCGTGCGGCTCCTTTGGTGATTGGAAGAGAGTCATACGGCTCAGACGCTCTGTGTTCAAGTACTCCTGCCTGCATCGTGGAGCATTATGGCCTTGCTTTAGATCTTGGTCGGCTCGAAGATCTTGGTTTGGGCCATATTATACCTTGTAAGCTTTCTTGAATAGCTCGGTTTGATTTTGTCGTGATGGTATCGGGCTTTGAATCCAAAGTCATCACCAATATCCGTAGACTTGTTAGCCTATGGATCAGGGTCAACCCATTATTCTCCATTGCGGTAGGTAATACCAGAGTTCAAGCAATCCGAGCTGGCATCACTTTGCAATAGAAACATGGGCATGCTCCTTCAGCTTTCGGAAATCTCTTCAACACCCGACTGCCAAGGTTGTGAGGACTTTCTGAATGAGACCAGCGGCCAGGTGACACGCCAGGTCTTCCTCCCTTCCTTGAAGGACCTCGGACCGTGCGTTGACCGGTGACAATTGCCATCATGACTTTGTCAGGTAGGGAACGGACCAACCTTGCATGGTGCTGCTCAGGTTGGTCTCCTCGTCCCACACCTGAGCAGGTTTCCCATGTGCAGCCAACGTTTTCGCTTCG